GGCGGTCTTTGCTCCTCCTCTGCTGTCAGCAGCTCATGCTCCAAATCTGTGGACCCCAGACAAGGGGGTGGTGCCTCAGCATCGGCAAGACACAAAATCAACTCAAAAATATACTATTAAAACGTGCAAAACCACTCTTGAAGACAATGAATGCAGATGTCTTGGAACATGAGCGTTGGGCCCTGCATAGCATGCAGTAGAGAAACCTCCGAGATGCCCTCATCGTCAAGGAGCAAGCTTTGCTTCAGCTGGAAGAGCGTGGATTTTGGCCTCGGCCCGAACATGACAGTGCCACCTCCACTGCAAGTTCTGCATGAAAGTACCCATCACCGTAGGGAGCAAAGCGCTCTTCTGTTTGCTCAAATCAATACCATGCTGAGAGGAAAGCACCACAACACATGGTTTTGCAATGTTCCTACACAGTTCACATCAATCAGGTGCAAGCTGCGGTTCCACGAAAAGGAAGGGCGGCTTTGCGAAAACAAAATCATCTTCGCCTAACATGTCAAAAAGGCATTGGAAGTCAAAATGCCTTCAAAAGCCTTTAAAGGTTCAAGCAGCAGCATCATCTAAGAAAACAGATTTACATAACATACATACGTATGGACATGATAATGGACATGTATACTAATATACTATAGATGTACATTTACAATGTTTGATGCTTGCCCAGTTGCACGCAAAGCCTTGGTTGTCTCAATCACAGTGGAGAAAAGTTGAAATGCCTTCACAGTCTAAAGAAAAAGAGTAAATAATTAATGTAAGGGCGGACCTTCTTAAAGGGACCCTTGCTTTCTTGGTTTATTGCTTTTCTTCCAACCAACCCCAGTCCTTCACGTGGCAGTGTGACCGGCGTCCAAACTGGCTTTGACTGCAGCCGGGAGCCCTGCAAAGCGTTCGCATGAGACTGTTTGTTCCAACCGACTCCGCCTCTCTTTCTCATCCACATGTTTACCATTCAAAGCAACACTTGCAGGCACCTCGCCTGTCGACTTGGCTCACGGCTCATCCACCGAGCCTCCCATGCAAAATGGATCAAAATGGAAATCACAACAAAAGAAAGCTATCAGTATAGCTTTTGCGAAAGTCTATATAGAATCTAGAGACCGCTTATATAATCACACACATCTAGTGATAGGGCCATGGTCCAAGATTTGGGTACCATCCAGACCCACCGGTACAACAGTAAAACAGACTGAAATGAGTGGGACCATGTGTTCTTTTGAGCATCCAAAAATAGGATGACAAGGAGTTGAAACATAGAAACAAAACCAGGTTGAGAGAGCCAAGGTTTTTTGGTGCTCCGAGGGTTCCAAGCGTTCTCTTCGACAGAGGCCTTGTCGACTCACGAGTCACACACCCACCTCTACCAGTCAGAAGAGCCCTTCATCACCTTCATCTCCCAGTTGTTTAATGTGTGTCCACCTGTTGATGCCTGGACCATTACAGTACTACTTTGGTATGGCATGTCGGACTTTACCAAATCCATTCCAACAGAGTACCGTCATCAGCAAAGAAGGAAGGAGGAAGAACTTCTTGTTTGCCAAGTCAGTTGGGGTAGGAAACAGTGAAGCAATACAATAAATGTTGGTTCAATCGCATAGGAAGTCCACCAGTTCCAAACATGTCCCCTCCTTTGGAAGGCTCGTCAAAGGGGCGGAGCTGCATCGGTCTAAGTGTTTGCGGCTGCCATGACCTTACCAGCATGCACCATGCAGCAAGAGAAATGTATGAAAGAGTATTTTAAGAGAAACTTAGACTGGAGGCAACTCTTGGAAGAGCTTCTCTTAGAAGAAGTAGTAACAAGGGCATCGCTACTAGTGAAAAGGCATTGCTAAGAAGCTACTAGTAACAAGGCCTTCCAAGCATCTGAAACATCCATCCAGTGTCTTCTTTTGAAGATACCTCCGGACCTGCCCTGTCATACACGGTCGTGAGGTCATGACCGAGGTGGAGCTCCGGCGATGAAGCAGAGCCATTCAGCATCGCCGTCGTGAGACGAATCAAACCAATCCCCTGTCATCCTGTGTCTACTTTGTCTACTTTTTTTCATGGAGTAAAAGAAGTTTACAATCTACGTACTGTGTCTACAACGCGTCCACCATTCTGCTTTGACTTGCTCATTTAGGCCCTCGTAGAAGTTGATGTCAGGTAGCAGCTAGAGCTTTCTACTGGCAAAAGCTCAAACAAATCCAAGGTTCTGACCTTGTGTCTGTGTAAGTTGCACTGTGAAGCCAAAGAAAAGCAGGCAAGTTGGATTGTGCCATTGTATCAAAAAGCCAAAGGTCCTCTCTGGACACAAAATTGTAAGCAAGAAATCGGCTGGCTCTTCTGGCCTGCAACTTCTGGAGCTCGGCTTGCAATTGTTTGGTTTCGGTCTGCCAGGTAGGGGCAATCGATTTCTGCAAGGAATCGATGTACAATGTACATTGTTTAAGTGTCCCTAACAATCTAGGAACCATCGCTAGTAAGTTGGAGGCCATCGCTATTACTGTAGTTTCCCTAAAATTCTAGGAACCAAATCACTAGTGCCAGCGCGTCTTCAACAAATCTCCCCCCGCCCTCAGCGTGAACTATCCTGCGTCCTAGGTAGTAGCTTAAGTAGCTAGTAGCTACCTCTTCTACTAGCTACCTCGGCCTACCCCCCCAAGTCCCATGGGCCCACTCACCCCCATGGGCCCCGATGCCAAGTTATCTCACTTGAACTTCGCTACTACCTGTTGGAGGCATATCTGCTGGTTGCAGTCCTTTTCGGTCCTACGCAGTTCAAACACGAGGCGTACAACCAGGTGAGCTCGTATGTACACACTGGAAGAGTGACGAGATGCAGCACGCGAGCCAGTTTCTCTCGCCTCTTCCGTTATTGGGGATCAGCATGGAAAGCCCCCACAATCACCCATGCATTCTGCCACTCTTTATGGTATTGCAACTGTTAAACCAGCTGTCAAACCAAGCCCAACCAGCTAGCTCAAAAGCAATAATATAAGCCTGAAGCCTCTTGCTGAATGATTGTCGGATTGACATCTTTGCAGACTTGTTGAGCACAGATGCATTGGCTTCAAAAACCTTTATCTTACACTTTTTGCAATTCAGTTCAGCTTTGGCAAAACAGGAGTGTCATGAGTCCCACTTTAATCTAGCAGGAAAGGTGAACAAGAACTCCACATTTCCTTCTCAGGCTGGAGTGAGTTTTGCTTGTATTTGGGACATTAATTGATGTCAGGCAAGCGCTTTGATCTAGATCCAAGCCAGTGTTCCAGTGCAGGCACAAAAAGGACACTGAAGTCAGAACAGCAAAACAGCCAAGACTTCAAGTGTGAGGACAAAGCTGAAACTCGAAGCTGTCTCAGCCTCAAGCTTTCTTCGCTTGTTCTGCAAAGTCGCAGTCCTTTGCGAAGGAAGTGCCCAAAACAGCACTTGGGAGCCAACCTGAAAGAGCAAGACTCAAAGAAAACCAAGGGCTCAATATCTTCTCCGAATGACTCAAAAACTTAGGAAAATAATAAGAATGTAAGGACCTAATAGCGATGGCCTCCAACCAATGGCGATGGCCTTTAGTAGCGATGGCCTCCATCTTATCCCTTTGATAAGGCCCCTTCAAACTGGGCCTTATTATTGCGCAAACCTCCAATAACTCCAATGGTTACGTTGACATAACAGCGGATTGCCTTGTCACTTTGCACCTCATCATCGGCCACTAGACTCTCCACCACATCCTTGACTGCCTTTCAACACTAACACACAGAGTCCACTGATCTTTTTGCTTTGTACCTCCCATATTTAAGCTTGTTTGGTTACTCTATTGTGCAGTTTCTCAGTGTTTTCTGCGTGAAGATCGTCCGTTCTGTAAGCAAAATGTCTCCTAGTGACAGTATTGGCTTGTCATTTGTAACTTTAGACTGCCCTCATAGTGGTACTTTACCCTAGTGTTAGTGGCCTAGAAATTGGAGCTCTGAAGGTTGATTGCCTTCACTGGTGCTTGACTCAGCAAGAAAGCCAGAAATGTGAGTGGCTCTGTTGTAAATTGCTTCGACAGTGAGTAGCATCTGCCCCTAACAAACTCGAGGATCGATCTCATGAACATCAGGCATTTTCTGTTGCTTTCTCTCTCTCTCTCTCTCTATCTCTCACTCCCTCTCCCTCCCTCCCTCCCTCTCTCTCTCTCTCTCAAGATCTCCGATATGCATCACAATGCCATGCTCAGACAGAACAATGTCGATCTGGCTACATCGCTACATAAGCCAAGTCATCTGCTGCCATGAACTGTTCTTGAAATCGCAAAGGCTCTAGGCCTGCGGAATGACTCCCTTGGACTTTCCCAACGTTTCCAGCTCCTTCAGAGTGAAAAAAGAGGCCTCGGATGCGATTCCACAGTGAGATTGAAGCAGTGGGCTAGCACATCATCATCTGCTGGCTTACAGTATATAAGTCTAGCTCATAGCTTTGTAAAGGAACACAGAGTTCTGGCTCGCTTCAAGAAAGAGCTTCGTCTTTGGATGGCCTGGCCTCCCCCTGCATCGCAGCCAACAACGTCGCCTTCTTCTCGTCGAAAGACATGCCCTTCCTCACCGAAACAACAAACGTTCATCACGACAATCATCCTCGAAAGCCACGTCATGATGAAATTTCAAAGATTTTGATGGCCCAGCACAAAAGCTGTAAACTCCAGAGCGATAAAGCTAGCAATCCTCTTGGACATGACAGACACGGCGGTGCTCAGAAAGCGATGAGAGTGGAGCCTATCTACCTTGGTGACAAGAAACCAAGTGGCTCTTGCAGTAAAGCGTTGCTATGAGTCAACTGAATTAAACTCTTTTCCAATTGCGCAAAAACGTGACTTCCTTACTCGCAGACAAGGTGCAGCGTGTGCCGACCCGATCTCGTGATCACTCGCACAACTTGAGCCCAAAATCAAGCGATGCAATACATCCACCACAAACCGTATCAGAAACGGCAGAGTCATGCAAGGCACACACGAGATTGCTTGCCAGGCTTCAGACCCAAGAAGCCACCAAAGAGGCTCAGGAAGAAAGCCTGGCGAGTAGAGTCTCTTCCGCTTCAGTTTCAAAAATTGGATACAGCAATTACCTCCCACAAAGACCTTTCAAGGTCGACACATTCACCTTTGCCTAGACCATGCTGCACCAGCAGCCCCGACAAATTCTTTAAAAGGCCAGCAAGCAGTGTCCGAGGATAGAGCCCTTTGCAACGCCTTCAGCTGCGATTTCCGGACTGTGCGGCACTCAGGGTCAGCCCACCCCTCAGAATACAAGTCATGATAACAGCCAAACGAACTCAGGCGGCAGGTGGTTTCAGCGGGTTTCAACTCAATTGATGCTCTTGTTTTCGTGAGGCTCCACTCTCCACTAAGGGGGAAGCAGAATCACATTCGCAAAATGCAACGCCCATGTTGGCCTCGTGACGTCAACAATCAAACATTGACTTGTTCAAACCTGCAATATCATGCAAAAGAGGTCAGACTCTGACAACAGCATCTCCAGGCTTCGCCAGCGACAGCGGAGTCTTCATCCACCTCATCCCACTCCCACCACCACCACCACCACCGCGGATTCTCTCGCATGGTCTATTTCTCCACAAATCACAAATCCAACACTAGTGCAATTCAAGACTTAGTTCGATTCCATGTTTGGACAGAAGGATTGAACATACCTTTAAACTTTAAACCAAACTGCAGAGACATTTCTGCAGCTCGAGTGGCACCTTCCGATCCTGTTACTTTACCATTCAATTAGCGATTTCGGTGCGTTTTACAAAGCCGAGGGACGGAACACACTGACCATGCCCGGAGCAGACTTGTCGGGTTGAGGCCTGGCAGAGTCTGCAACTTCAGATGTTCACGTTTTCAATGTTTCTATACCTTTTCATACTAGGAACAAGAAGCTACTAGGAACAAAGGGCATCGCTACTAGGAGCAAGGACGCTACTACGGGCTCCTGGCCTTACTACTAGGGACAAGGACGCTACTAGGCAGCCTTGGACATTGTTCAACTAGACACTTCGGGCCACATTTCAATGGGGCTGTGCTTGCGAGTGCCGGTCTGAAAGTGCATGCCTGCGGGTATGCTTTAAAAGCGAGTGGGGCCTTTTCTGACTACCATGGTGATCAGAAAACAACTTGTGTTACAGCTGCCTTGCTTGCGTAAATTGTAGGAAAAAAAGGTAATCAGTACGATATGGCATTGGCTTGGTTGCGTGTGAAGTCAATGCTGCAACTGTGAGCTTAGGTTGAGGTCAGAGAAAGATACCAACAGGGCAAATTGTGCGTGAGTGTATGCTTTGATACAATATCAATAGTATACAAAGGTTGTCAAGGCACTGGGACTGCTTCCCTGAGCAATGCCACGCAAGCACAAAGTAAGCATGCAAGGGTGGCCCCCACACTGCAAGAGTTCAGGATCGCTGCAGATGAAGGCTGTCCAGGGCCAACCTCACCGAATGACAGCAGTCCTTGCACCATCATCAGATTTACAAGGACTCACAGTAACAAGCGCCGGACATGCTCATACTTGATGAGATAGTTAGGCCTAAAATTATCAGTTTACGGCGACACAACACAGGAGAAAGAAAAATTAGGATTAACACCATGACTCAATATGAGGCTGGAACTGCCTGCTCCAATTGGCTCGGTCATGCGTTGGAATTTCCTAGTGCCCACAAACAAGGTCCGAATATACAACTGTTTGCAAGCAACTCACCAATTTTGTGCCACAAATACGGTGAGACACGGACAAGGCTGCAGCCCTGCAGGGATGCCTGCATTTTGAAAAGACTCTCTCTCCCCCTCTGCATCCCAGCTCTTTCCAATCCCGAGTGTCGCGCCGCACAAACAAGCAGCGACATGAGTAAGCCGAACTCCACAAGACCTGTGCGCAAATCGCAAACTCCCCAAACTCGTCTCCCTTGACACCAGATTTTGTGAGAGCGGCCTCTAGAGCGGGAGCGGCTGCCATTGTTCTCCGTGTTGTCCAAGCCTACACGGCACCACTCACGAATCACGCAAAGAACCTCAATTGTGCCTTGTCTCTCTGTCCAGTCTCTGTCTCCATTTCCCTCACTCACTAGTTGAAGCAATTTGACACATCTAATTGAGCCTCTGGGAAGGGGAAAACAAGAGACGTTCACTTCGACACGTCTCATGGTTTTCATTTTCATCTATATAAAACCTGCCCAAGCAAACTAATCGAAATCTGCTTGGACCACAAACCGTGGCAGTACAGACGAAGACATTTCATGAATATGGCCAAAAAAATTTGTTCAAGCTTTCAATACCTCCGTTTAAGGTCGATGTGCTAAAATTGTCATGCATTGCGCTTGTGAAGAACATTAAAAAACTGCACTCACCTCCCCTCAGCCTTCCGCTACTGCTCCCAACACTGGCCTAGTCCAACCTGCAAGCCAAAAAGTGCTAGCCTGGCAGCAAATCGCTTTGTTTTGCTTTGTATTATGCAACTCAACCAGGCTCCAACAAAAAACGTGTGCAAGACAAGCAGGATGCACAGTAGGGTTACCGGGGCACCTTGCAGAAGCAGGCAATAAATGCATCAAAGAACATCGTTGGCTAGGCAGCCAGCCACTTCTGCTAGATCCACTGTGGCCTGAAACGTTCAATTGCAGCAGGTTCATATTTTGCAAAATAAGAAAATAAGCCATGTGCCAGTGCAGAAAGCAGAAGGAGCTTCAAAGTCCGCATATCCATGAACTTTGCTCACCTCTCCTGTCGTTGCAGTCGTCCAGGCTGGAGCTGAGCAATCAGAGTAATGAGTAATCTGTCCGATTTCTTGCTATATATCTTTGGCTACCCCAACCTAGTTGGGATTGGAATGACGGTTGATTCCAGCAGATAGGTATCCTTTGAAACTCTACTGTAGGTTGATCAGCTGAGACGAAACAAACTTGCCAATGTTTAGAGGTGCAGTGCCCGCTTAGTGGCATGCACACACCCCAGGACAAAAGCCGAAGGAACCCAGGCGCTGATTGCATACAGCATCCTTGTTGATCCATCCCCATGACTCGTCAATCAAAAGAATATATTACAGTAGTGCATAGAGAGCGGCGCAAATGAATCCCCAGACCTGTCTGCCAAACTGTTGAGCTAGAGTACAAGGCTTGAACCTATACTCCTGAAAAGGAAAAACATAGAATAACAAAAAAAAGCGAAAGATTACAAGTGTTCTTTGCATTCGTACGATCTATATAATGATCTGCATCTCAGTTTCTAGTGGGACAGCACACGGGTGTATCAGTTTTTTTGTGCTACGTTCAATCTTGGTTCAGGCATTGATTTTTCCAATTCTTGCCAGTTATCTAGCTGAAATCTGAAGTGTGAGCCTGTCTTATATATTGCATTGTAAGGTTTCCAGATTGCAGGGTAACGCCTCCCTCCCAAATGTCACTCCTCCCGCTTCAGCAGATAGCTCGAATACACACCGTGCACTGTCATCACAGCACCTGAGCTTTGCTGATGTTTCTTTGTTTGTTTTCTCTGTTGGTATTTCTTTATTGCAGTAGAGACCCAAGATTGCGTTGCATCTCCTTCTCCAAAAAATACAGCCGACAAGATATTAAAGTCTGTTTGTAACTGGGCTGCAGACTCAACATTGCATGCATCTAAATACTTCTCGCAAGAGGTTCTGCCTTGCATGTCAAAGACCAATTTGGTTGGCACAACAAGCAGGGGTAAGGGATCAAAATAAAAATAAAAATAGAATCAAAAAAATATTCAACGGGGATCAATTTAAAAAAAAGGTAATCAAAAAAATATCTTCTAGCCCACTGGGGATGGTTGGGGTAGTAGTAGTAGTAGTAGTAGTAGCAGTAGCAGTAGCAGTAGCAGCAGCAGCAGGAGGAGTAGGAGTAGTAGTAGCAGCAACAGCAGCAGGAGGAGGAGTAGTAGTAGTGGTAGCAGTAGCAGTAGTCACGGCGTTCACACGAAGTTAGGCCCTACATGGCGTTGTCAGAGCGCTCAGAGCAGAGAAGTGTTTGGAATGGGTGTAGCAGCATCGGAAGGTGCCTGGATGGGAATCTCCTCAGGAAAAAGATGTGGTGGACCAGTCTATTTCTAATGGGTGCATTGCGGTCGCAGCCGTACAGGGTCTTTTTCACCAAGCTGGTGAACCATTTTTCGAGTAGGGCTACTCAATGACTGGACGGCTACCTTATCGTTGGGTACCTACTTTCTTCCCAGGGAGCTGCCTCTAGTAGAAAGCAATCAAGAATCAAGCCTCTATTTGCGCAAGCAGGGGACCAGGAGATCGACAGACGAGCGCCATAGGAGAGCAAAAGACCAGCGGACCAGGAGACAGAAGGACTAGGATACCAGGGGACCAGCGGACCACAGGACCAGAGGACCAGGAGACCGGAGGACTAGGGGACCAGTGGACTAAAGGACCAAGGGACCAGGGGACCAAAGGACCAGTGGACCAGAGGACCAAGGGACCAAAGGACCAAGGGACCACATTACCAGAGGACCCGCAGACCAAAAGGCCAGGAGAGCAGCAGAAGAGGCCTATCAAGGAATATATTTTTGTTGATTCGCTTTTTATTTTTTTTTGATCCTGTTTTTTTTTGGATGCTCTTTTTATTTTTTTTTGATACCTATGCCAACAAGCAGCCGTCTAAACTCAGGCATTAGATCTAGGCAATTAGTCAATCATACAATGCAAGTGTTGCTGCACAGTCTATTTTGCCGAGGGGCAAGGCTTCAGGTATGGTATCTGTGATCCAGCCTTGCAGCTTCCCTGGAGCAATACTCTTTCGTCCGCATCAATGCAAACAGTCAACTTCTTCTTGAATCAATGCCATGGTGTCCTGGTTTCGAGGGAAGTATGTCATGCAAACCAGCTCGTAGATGCGAGAGACCTGATACACAATCCCACATTCTGGAGCCTACAGCCCTACAGCAAGCCAGAGTAAGTACAACAGAATTAAGATGTTCACGCAAGGTTCATCATCTATTCTTTCCTGCTCCTTGAAGTCCCATGCCTTTTACACATCAGACGGTCAAACAAAGTCTTGTATTGGCGAAAGTGTTATTCAGATGTCAGCTCCAAAACACACAACTTCAAGGTGATTCAATTACTGTCTGTGCAAAATGCGAGCACCTCATAACCAAGTCCACTAAGGTGATACACGAACGTCGTTGATGCCTCGATACTGCAAAATCTGAGAATGGCAAATCATCCAATCAAAGTCTGGTTCAAGCAAGCCTGTGAGCTACTGGAGGGACCAACTGGGCACAAAGCTGCTTCATCTTGAGCTCGAGTAATTGTGTCCAGTGCCTGCCCACAGGAATTGTGCTCACTGCTCACTCCAAGTCTCCTTGATGTCCAGACATTCCACCCGTCCCTCCATCCCCCTTCCCAGGGGCTCACCACGCTGGAATTTGCAGGTGACGGAATTGCAGGATCGTAGTCAACTGCCGCCTTAAAGAACATGGTTTACAGAGCTTGGCACAACGTTGTCTTGAGAAGTCTGTAAAAGAAAACAAATTTGGGCTGTGCTTCACGCCTTGCAGAATTGCAAATACTTTTGCACTTCCCCAGGCTGAGAGCATTGCCACACCTTATTCAGTGTTGGGGCGATAAAGAAACCATGCTCTGACAAAATCAGGTGCACCTGAAAGCAAGTGCAAGCTTCCGCGCAAAACCAGGAACCAACTTGTGTGCTAGCCACTCTAGCCTGATTAGTTGTGAAGCTTTGTGCACACTTGCATGCGACAGGGTTTGTCTCGCTAGGTGTACCGAGCCTTTCAGCCTTTCTTGTATCTGCAGGGTAACTTCGGTCCTTTTCTAGAAAGTGAAACTGGACAACGCACAAAAATGTCACTAGAATTTGCTTGCAAATGGCTCTCCTTGAGATTGTACCTATTGCGCACAAGCTCTTTTCTGCGCGCTCATCCAAGAAGTATGTATGTTGACTACTTGCACTCTGACACCCCAGCTTATTGCAATTGGTATGTCCACTATGAAAATACCTTGTGAAATAGTCGCGCAATACATTAATACAATTATGTACGAGTATATTATTGACTATACAAATCCTCCGGGAAAAGCCGATTGGTCCATGGTCGCTGAGCTCAATCAATGGAGTTCAAGAAAGCCGCAGCAGTTAGGAGGGCCATACACATTGTGACAGTCTTGCGCGCACCATGACATCACACGGGTCTACAAATTGTAGTCTTGTACACATGCACGTTGGTCGATGCTCTTCAGAGGAGTACCAAGAACTGCTCTTTGCATGAAAACACCAGTTGCAACAAAGCAAAAATGCTCGCGACAAGACGGATTGGAAACCTGTTGAAAATATATGGAAAAGAAGGTTGAAGATCTGATAGAGTCTGATCGGGAAATCAAACCAGAAACCACTTCTAATTTTCATCCACCTCTCTGGGCTTCCCGCTAGACCAGAGAGGCGAGGCAAGTCGTATAGACCAGGAGTCAATGGATTGACACACCTGAAGAATCCGGCATAGAGATGAATCGATGTGTCCAAAGGTGGGGGGGGGTAGGCCGCTAGAGGCAGTAGAGGTAGGTAGCTAGGAGGAGAGGTAGCTACTGCCTGCAAGTAAGCTACTAGTATGGACGCAGGATAGTTCACGCTTCTTCAAGGAAGACCCCCCCATCACCCTAACGGCGGCGGGGGAAACTTCCTTGAAGAAGCGCTCGCACAAATGATTAGGTTTCTAGATTCTCAGAGACACTTAATTCACACACACTTATGATTTGGTGTACGGAACTGAATGCCACATGCCACACGCCAGCCTAAGAAACCAACTCCTGAAAAGTCCAGGAGAACCCTATGGAGCCTGGAGGTCTTCAAAAGGAGAAAGGGCCAAAAGCTCAAGACCGAAAGCGACGAGCAGGTCGAGATGACGTCGTACGCTCATGTCTGCCAAGCTCATTAGCACTTTACTGGAAATTGGAGTCAAAGCTTGTTCAAAAGTTCAAACAGCAGGTACGTGCAGCTGATCAGGCTGCATATCCTGAGGTCACCATAGAGAGCTTCGTTGGGCACAGCTCTATGGGCCTCCTGTGCCCTATACGTCCGTACCTCCAATTCCCCTTCTCAAACAATTCAAAAAGAATCCCTGTGACTACAAGGGGCACACACACACACACACGCCTCCCCAAGCGAGGCTGCTCTTACCTAGTAGCGTCCTTGCACCTAGTAGTAAGGAGCTTTTAGTAGCGTCCCATTCTAAGGTCCTGACAGGAGGGAGGGGTAGGGAAAGGAGAGAAGAAAGATTGAAGAAAGGAAAGAAAAAAACAGCTACGGCACAAGCGTCCAAGGACACACCAAGAGAAGAAGAGAAGGGTTCCCAGCTATGACGAAAGCATCCAGGGACACCCAAAAGAAGAAGGAAGAGGGAAGAAGGAGAGAGGAAAAAGACCGAAAACAGGTGTTCCCAGCTACGCGCAAGCGTCCAGGGACACACCAAGGAGAGGGGCACACCTGAGTGTTACATTCAGGAATACCCCGAAAAAGGAAGAGAGAAGAAGGGGAGGGGAGGGGGAGGAAGGGGACTAAGGTCGCGACAGGTACCGCTGTGGTCACCTTGTGCCCTGCCAAAGTGGCTGGCTGCTTTGACCGCTGCGGTCACGTAACGGCGTGAGCCAGCTTGGAGTTCCCAACATGAGACAAGAGTCTTGGCAAATAACTTTGGCAGAAAGCCTCCTACGCTCGCTGCGAGCTACTCTGGTCCCGGGCACAGGGACGAAGACAAAACCCCGTTCGACGGGTCCACGGAAGGCACTCTGCGGGCTCATCCCGGGCTCTCACTAGGAGAGACACACTTATGATTTGGTGTACGGAACTGAATGCCACATGCCACACGCCAGCCTAAGAAACCAACTCCTGAAAAGTCCAGGAGAACCCTATGGAGCCTGGAGGTCTTCAAAAGGAGAAAGGGCCAAAAGCTCAAGACCGAAAGCGACGAGCAGGTCGAGATGACGTCGTACGCTCATGTCTGCCAAGCTCATTAGCACTTTACTGGAAATTGGAGTCAAAGCTTGTTCAAAAGTTCAAACAGCAGGTACGTGCAGCTGATCAGGCTGCATATCCTGAGGTCACCATAGAGAGCTTCTTTGGGCACAGCTCTATGGGCCTCCTGTGCCCTATACGTCCGTACCTCCAATTCCCCTTCTCAAACAATTCAAAAAGAATCCCTGTGACTACAAGGGCACACACACACACCACACACACACACACACACCCCTGGCCCCTCAGGCTGTAGCTTGTTCTTTATGCACACTGGGTTGTTGGTGTAAGCAGGTTCGCCTTCGAAGGCAACGCACACTCAATGGAGCAAGAATTTCAGAAGGAATGGACATCACAAAGTCACCTTTGAGAGGAACTAGGAAAATCATTCCGTTCAGTCCCAAAAGAATGCAGAGACTGCCTGCATAACACAGACTAGCACAGGCATCATACAAACTTGGCTTGCCTCCTTGGGAGGTTGAGCTCAAATGCACCTACACATTGCAGTCTCAACATGGAGTCTACAAGTCTAAAGAGTCTACATCCAAACGCTGAATTGTCAAGGTCATGCCTGAGCACCAGAGGCCGAACCAGCTATGAGCAACACAGCTGTGAACATCTCTGGCCGTACCTCGGCAACCCAGCTGTGCGCTTCTTCTTTCCAGAGCCCTCTCTACAGCAAATGCAGCAAACCAGCCTGGAAAATCCCGAGTCCTGATCCTGACCGATTCACAACTCATTGCGTAGCAAGCACAAGTCAGTTGGCTGTCAAAAAAAACAAAAAAGAAACCAGAATCAGATTGATCTGAATGTTGGGTCAAGCTTGGGCACGTGCACTCGTTATTTCGAGCTTTCTGGAAGGTGTCAAGAAAGTTCACCTTTCAAGAATGAAAGCCGCAAAAGCCGTATACAACATCAGCTGAAGGTCATAGTCAGTTGCCATCCAAGAGACTATCTGGGCAAGAGGCCGTCAGCCTCTATGGAGAAAGGTCTACTCCCAATTAACCAGCCAAAAGTGGCTGCGGGAACACGCTATTTGTCCATCCTGGAACAAGAATGCCACAGACTGCCATAGATTCAAGCACACACAAAACAAACTCTGCAAGCACTCGACCTTGCCACCCTTGCCTTTGCCTTCTATTGGCATGCCCTGCGGAAAGCCATTGCAAGCTCACACATCTTTGTACTGGACATCTTTCCAATTCCTTACAGACTTCAACACACGACAAGTATGTGTCTCATGTTCAGTCAAAGAAAACCCATCTTCCTCCTGGCATGTAGAGTCTGCTGTCTCTAGAGAAATTGACCAGTCGAAAGGGGCCTTCTTCCCTTTGGCTGAGTCAAGACCCTGTTCAGTCAAAGAATAAATTGTGCAAAAAAAAGAAAACATGATGAAGCATCCAGGCTGTGGCACAAGTCCAGTCACAAAAAGTCTGTGGCCTTCGCAGACTTGCCCTTCTCCAGCTCCTTGCCTGAGTGTCTTCATAAGTGATCTTGCGATTCACTAAACTGCAAACAATCCAGCTCGTGCCGTGGCGTGCCTTTCCCCTTGCCCCCTTTCTCTTCACCCTTTCCCATCTTTCCTTTCCCTCGCAGCATGCAGAAACTTGATGCCTGTCACACAAAACCATCTGATGGTTCTCTCACTCATCACGTGCCTTTCTCAGGACTTTTACCATAGCCACCTCCACAAATAAACAACAAGGCAAAAGCATCTTGAAAGTAAAAAACATACCGCTTAAAGCCCTGAAATGTCGTAGAATGCACCTTTGTCGTACCTGTCATAGCCCTTTTCGTAGCCTTTGTCCTTGCCGAAACGTAGTTACAGCTGGATATGCATTGGGCACGTGCCCGTCAGGTTCTTGGGAAGGTGCAAAAGTGTTATCGTTAAGTGGATAAGCGCACCACGTAGCTTTTCTCGTAGCCTTTCTCGTAGCCCTTGTCCCATCCCCTTCCTGCAGGCGCAGTGGGTGACAATTTGACACATGAAGTGTTTGTGCTAGCCAAAGGTCCTGATCCAGCACCTTTGTCACCTTTTCCCCAGCTTGGGGCTTGTGCTCCATACCTTGATCCCCGACACACAGGCCAACAAAGAAGCATCTAATAGTTTGACTTTGCAAGTCTGAGTTACAATGACTTTGCAAAAACTCTCAGCCTGGGGCCAAAAGTTCTCCGCTGGAGCTGGTCGGGCACTTTTCCCCTGACCTTTCGATGGTGCACCCCAGCCTCAGTATATACTATAAGTTCGTATCGGCTGAAATGAAATGTGTCAGCCAGCAATTCAGCAAAGGTTGCAACTTTCGTTGTTGCCTCCATATGCAAAAGTGCCTTTGGACGCAGCCTGTGCACAGGACTTGCTGGAGTTGAGAACTGGCATGAGAATGATGGGCCTTTCCCATTGAGCCATCCATTCCAGGGCCACCAGCAGGTTTCTTCATGGACCTTGGGACTTCTACATGTGAGCTGGATGTCGTTTCATTTTGGCACATTCTCTGCATCTCCTGAGGTCTGCTCATGATGGCTGGATCATTCAAATGAGGTGAGGCACCTTGGCCTCCACCACCTCAGGGGCTTGGTACATGCATTTTTCTGCGCAGGCTGCTGAACTGGAGCTCTGGGGCCCTGGCTGCCTTCCAGAACAGTCAGGTCCTTGATGTCCTGGACGACCAAAGCAGGGACCATCAGGCAGGGACATTTTTTGGAGCAACACAGGTTCAGCTGAGCCGCTCTGTAAACCGCCCTATTCATGTTTATATAGTGGCTGGCTTGTCACATGAATGCTTCGCGTAAGCAATACCTGGGTGTGCGTCGAGTTGCGTAAGTTTTTTTGGGGAGATAGGAGTTGCGCGAGCTGCGTAAACAAACCCGACTTTGACATACATGTCAGATTTACAATAGACATGGTCAGGAAACTTCATATACCATTGAAACATGCAGGGTGTGTTTCCACCAAGCTACTTCAACGTCCCTAGAATAGGTACTCGAACAAAACGCAAGACATTCGCCAAAGCATTTACGAACTCTTTGCTGCTCACCGCCCAGCCGCCGCGGATGCCACATGTCCTGCCCCCGGAAGATGATGAAGTCATAGATCTCACTCGATGGTGGGATCTCTGGGACCTCAAATGGCCAAAAACAAGAAAGCGTGTTGCACATGGTTTGCCTGAGCTTAGGAAGCGCACTTTTCTACCTTCCGTGCCGAACGAGCGAACTGACCTCGTGCAAGCGCTGTGAAATATGTTTGAATCCCACCAACCCTATTTATGCCGATCTATATCGAAACTTCCAACATTTGTTTGTGACCTTACAGAAGAAACCACGAGCAACTGCAAGCAACTGCAAGTAATCAGGGAAGAGGCTGCAAGGCTATTGTGGACTCCTGCGTGTTGATGGTGTACAGGATTCCCTCACAGATTTGCTTGATAGTTCCGGAAAACAGCGAAGTCATGCAGTGAAGGCAAAAGGCAGACTGGATGCCTCGTATCGGATGTTCGAATTTGAGATCAAACTGATCTTGCTGCCAATGTACCTGGTCCAAACAATGTTGAACGGAAAACCGACACCAACTGTGCAGAGAGGTTGCGGAATTGTGCTGGTCGCCATGGGGCCTGCGAATCTGCAGCTGGTCCTCCAAAGGAAGTGCCACAATGCAAGAAGTGCAAAAACTGAACAACAAAAATATATTACTGTCCTGGAAATTGGGGGGCCTTCAATGTGGGCTTCGCCCGCCCCCCTCCAGCTGCACTTTTGAGCTAGTCCACGCAAGCAATGAAAACCGCTGACTTCTATGTAAGCACTGAAATTGTTTGAGTCACACAAGTGCAATAAGTACAAAAAACACAAAATAAAAGTCACTTTACAAGTTCCAGCCAGGATGATCAATCAGTTCGATCTTCGCAACTTCATACACCCATCGGCAGTGCCATTTTAGGTTTCACACATAGCAGTTGAAGACAGCGAACTGCACACAGTAATGCCAAGCTGTGCCAAAGAATCTGAAACACAAACACCTACAGGACCTAGACAACGTTTCCCATGCGCACGTCTCAAAACCGTTGAAATACATGATTACATGTGTGCAAGTTTCCAATATGCACACAAGAAGCATCGAATAGTAAGGCAGGTTTGGAAACCAAAAACACACGCAACCGAAAAATCAGGGAAAATGTTGATAGTTTGCTAAGCAAGGGATTGGATTTTTCTTCAAATTTGGCACTGAAATGTACGATTCTGCGTGAGCGGGTGACCTCATTGTACATTCTGACCGGCCCCTCCGCTGATGCCTAATTGACATTTTCCTTCCATGTTGGAAAAATGCGCAAACCTCTTCAAAGTGCAAGGCACATTCATCTGGTGCCAACCTGCGCCTCAGGCTCTGCTCAATCAACTTCTGTCCATGGCGATCTGCAGCAAGAACTGTTTTAAATTTATGTCCCGCTGTTTCCTCACCTGTCGACTGTCGACTTTCATTCTCCGATTCCCCTGCATGCAACTCCAAGCGGCATATCGCTTGAAACGCATTCTCTTCACACCTTGTCAAAGCATGGGCGTCAACCCAAAACAACAAACTCAGGTTCCTCCTTCCTTCAACACTTCTTGATGTTTTTGATCGCTCCCTTGATGATGCGCACAAGGCGCCGCACCCACTGCACCAAGTTCAAGGCCCCGCAAAGTGCACAAATGCCAAAAAATTATCCACTGCCATCCATGATCATCCTCACTCTCCTTCTCAACCTCTCTCTTGTTCTCTGCGGCCTTGTCCACATTTGCCATGAGGAAAAGCAGTTCCACATGCAAGTTTTCTGCTTTTCATGGCCTTTTTGGGACCTTTCTTCGTCTGTTCTTTGTGTTCAATTTCAGGGTTCTCTTCTTTTCCATCTCGATCTTTTCCATGGTTTGCGGTCTTACATATGCCAATCGTCTCTTAGCATTGCCGAGCAATGCAATTCCAAGCATTTCCAAGCTCCCATGGGACCAGGACCCTTGGACAGTTTCTTCTGTCCATGTGTCGTTTGTTTCGTTTGCATGAGGGCCACCTTCAAGCAAGAAATCGGGTCTTCTGGTTCACCAGCGCATTCAGTCTCCATGTTCCACTGACAGCATAAAACCAAGACCAATGGCAGGTGAAGAAAAATGTTTAAAAACCTGGAAACAAACCCCAAACAGAACCCAAAAACACCACCACACAGACTCCCAGCCAATGTAGGCAGTGTTTCCTCAGGTGAGACAGGTGAAAACGACAAACTGCAAGATATCTACGGGCCTGAATTCCCTACGAAAAGCGACATGTGCCTGAATGCAGGTGATTGCTCTGTTCGGCCAATCAAAGTGGCCTCGCACCGTTGGCAAGGATGAGGTCATCCAAGCCGTTCGTGGGTGGGCACTCGAAACCTTGTGGCATCAAACGAGGTGACGAGGGCAAAGGCAGCCGTTGGCAGATGACAAGTGCCAAAGAGTCATCAGTTGCGAAGCATGGCAAGCCGTGGAAAATTCCCTCTCGAAAAAATTCCATGTCGGGATGTCCACCTCGCTCGATGCTTGCAGTTTGCGATGCATAAATTTCGTTTAAGTTTGTCTGTGAAAGATTTGGAGCCTGGCGGTAGTACAACATTTTGTTTCTCAATTTTTTGAAAGCGGCTTGTAGCGTAGTCGGAAGTTTTGAAAGAGTTCTTTGTGTGTGGAGATGCTTTAAGAGACTTTTAATATGTTTTCGTGTATTCTTTGTATAGTTTAGTGCTACGGGATATGTTTTGGCTCAAAGCCAATTCGCTTGGCTAAAACTACAAATCGTAGTACGTCCCTGCATGGTAGATGGACACTCCATCTGGCAGTTCCAGGCTGACGGTAGAGAAAGCTACCCCAAGGCTATACGCGTCCCGGCCAACCCGCGCGGAGAAATTGCTGACAGAGCCTTCTATGCTGCACCCGTGCTTCGGCGCGTAGAAGTGGCAATGGGCATTCAACATGTAGGAGTCGCGGCCTGGCAGAGTTGTCAGCAACTGCAAATTGTCAAGCTCCCACCCTCAGTCATAAGTCTTGCAGATGGGACCTTCCAGGGGTGCTACGTGCTGCGAGAAGTGGCCGCCCCGGGATGTGTCCAGTACAGCCGAAGAGTGTTTGCGGAGTGCTGCTCCCTTGGTCGAGTTGGTGTCAGTCAAGAAACGGATGACAGTAATGTCCTTGCACCAGGGGCACAGCTAGGCAGATATGCATTTGAGAGTTGTCTCACACTTACATCCATCACCTTTGTCAGGGACCACACCAATAAACCTCGAGCGCTGCCTGAAGGCGCATTCTGTGGAGCAGGCATTGAACAGCTCTGTCTGCCAGGTGACTTTCACAATATCGGGCCACGGGCCTGTGAAAACTGCAAAGGACTTGTGGAGGTCAACCTCATGTGCACAGAAATCACAGCCCTGCTCCACTCCACCTTTGCCCACTGCGTGGCTCTGAATTGTATATGGCTTCCGCCGCGACTAACGCAAATTGGCAAAGAAGTTTTCCTTAATTGTGTTGCGCTCCAAGAAGTGGTCATCCCGACAGAACTCTGTGACATAGGCATCCGTGCTTTCTGTGGGTGTGAGCAACTACAACGATTTACGCCCCTAGATTGGGGGGAGATTGAACAGTCTGTGCAGGCAGAGCACAATGCTTTCCTTATGTGTGACAAATTTGAAAGACCACTGTGGGTGGAGCTGCTCCCCGCTGAAGGACCTGATTCGGATGCCTTTGACGAAGAGCTATATAATGAATTTTCCTAACATCGGGCCAGTCCATGCGGGGGTCATGGTGGGTGCCTTAGCATCTGTCTCTAGAAACATCCCCGGCTCTAGAAACAGTCAATGAGCAGCGTGAGAAGCTTTTGGCTCAAACAGCAAATGAAAGTAGTCTGCCACACATGGAGCTTGCCGACTCATCCAGACTTAGTACTCCCCCTGAAATGGAGCCGGTCATGGACTGCTCCTTGGTGCTGACAACGCTCTCTTTTTTTCCACGAGTACGGACGCCGGGTGGGCATGGTGCCCAGGTCATCATTGAAGGAAGGGAAATACAGTCAGATGGTGGAGAAAAGGACAAAGACAACCCAACCAACAAAAAACAACAGCCAACCACAGCCCAAAGGCCGAGTCTCCACCATCCTGTAGTCTTTCCTCTGTGCTAGGGTGAAACAAGTGAAACGATGACTGCTGACTATCGATGGGCCTGAATTCACGAAAGAAGAGCATGGCAGCGAGGGTTTGTGCTCTAGCGAAATCTGGACTTCACATCACTATTACCAGTGACCAGCGGCCACTGCACAGAGTGGCAAAAACATGGTCACGATGCAAGTCTCGGGCATTGGTATGCTCTAACGCAGGTTAGATCCTTATCTAAGTGGATCAGTGGTTGCTATGCAGATCATGCCGTGGAAAATACCTTTCTTGTAGCACAACCCATGCAACTGGTTGCACATACAAGTCAAGAGGCATAGTAGTTGGTAGCGTTCAGACAGTGGCGGCCATAGCAAACGACGAAAGCCTGCAGGTAAGGGCGCGAAAGGCTCACCCCCCCGACGGGAGGTCATCTCGGCACCCTTCGGCACACAAAGGTGCCAAAACGGGGTGTTCCCTAACTTCGAGAAATGCTGCGTCATTGCAAAAGTCGTTCTGTTGCGCGCAAGGCCCGTGTGAAACAGGTGAGACTTTGGACCTATCCTAGCATGGTATCTGTACCTCTTTGTACAAAATTGGAAATGTCGGACATCAACAGAGGGAACTAAGGTTCCCCCTGGGCATCCTCCATTGCCACTCTCTACCACCCGCCTGTTGGGAACGAGGAGCTAAGGCTCTCATTCCTATTGGCTCACTGTATTGCGAATGGCGAAGAGGGGTTGGCGACCCTACTTAGTGTTTGCACTTTTCACTTGCCGTAGCTTCCTGGCGGTGTGCTTATGCACCATTCCCGCTGCGAAAGCATTGCTGGTCTTTGGCGCAGGTTCTAGAAAGTCTTCTCTCCATAGATCACTGGCATCGGCCGGCAAAGCTCGGTGCCATTCGGACTGGTCGAGTTACCCACATTTGTCAAGGGCATATGTCCCTCGCCATGTTTTGCTTTGTCTTTGTTTGCATATTGCTCGAAATTGCGCGCTACCTGCAAAAGCGCATCGCGCCATGTAAAGCAGGGGTGGAAACCTCCTGTAGAGAGGTACACTTGAGGAAGGCTTCTTATGCCGTGATCCTCAGTTTGGGACGGATCAACAGTTTGCAGCTGTTGGCGGCTCGCACAGGCGGTGGAGCCTATCCTGTCGAAGTCTGTCGGCAAGGCAAGTGCGACAATGCCCGCCTCCAGAAAGCAGCAGTCCGGCAAGCATCGGTTTGGGTGCGCTGCATCCGGCTCTGGCATACCTAAATTGATGTGACTCAGAGCTGTGCATGTTTGAAAGCTCGCGGCCTCAGTTGGGCTTGGGGGGCTAGCCGATTGCTGGGGCATTGAGCTGTGCCCTCCCTTGTCAAGGAGCGACACTATTCGGATGCTTTAGTGCTGAAATGCTTGCAACCGAAGCAAACTCTACTCGTGGAATTTGGCCTACTGTGGCTTCTGGCCTACTCTGGACTCGAGCTAAG